AAAGTTCAATAAATTGTGTAGTCAGATGAGTCAAATTGTAAAAGATTTAGCTAGCGAAATGATGTTCAACTAATTGTTTCACCCGATATACTATAGCTTCTTCGGCTCATGAATAGAAATATTTTTCCAATGATTTAAAGTTCGAACTGTTAACAAAATATATCTTGTTGTCAGGTGTATTTTAGAAATACAGACTTTTGTAATAACTTGAAATTTGAATAAAATTACAAAGTTTTGCTCTTCTCTTAAAAAGAACCGTTGGAAATTAAAACCATTTACTTTACTATGGTTCAGTTTGAGCCATGAACTACCATATACGTATACTTACAACAACAGACACTTTGAGTTACAGTGGTTAAAGATTGGCCTCCTTGTAAATAATGCTGGAATCAAGATTATTTTACAAGCATCAAGGATTGTCTGGGACTTTTGTCCTTTGGTTACTTAACTTCCTGATGTCAAACTAATAGTAAACGTGTTACTTCGTTTGATTAAAAATCTAATAAATTAAATACCCTTAGTTTTTTCTGAATTTTTGCCCAAAGCTACACAAGGACTACCTGCGTTTAACCTTTTCTAATTTTGAACTGGTAGACTTAAAGAGAAGGAAGCTGGTCAACATTACCCATCTCAATCTTCTGTCTGGCCGAATGGTGAGATTTGATCGTAACTCTTATAGTCTACTACATGAAGCGCATTTTTGCGACAACGGGTCATGGACCATGAATCCTCGGATTGACATTTTTCAATCCTACTTTCGTCATCTTTGTGTCTTTCACCCGTGTTTTGTACAGTGAATTCCCCTTCAAAGAAGCCATTTTCAAACTGACCACATCTTCACAGGGTCTTTTTAGTTAATTAGTACTCTCGCTATTACCTAAAAGAGCTTAAACTTTTAAATACTCACTCACCTAACAAAGAAAAAAAATAAAGTTGATACAAAATACGTGGTGTAAGTTAGATGATTGTATTTCTAAAGATGATTATTTTTTAATCATATTAAGCTTTAATCTAATCGTACATATACATAACATAGTTAGTATTTTTCCTTGTTGGTCTAAAAGATATGACCAGTGTTATATATATATATGTGTGTTTGTGTGTGTGTGAGAGTGCATAATACCAGTCAGAAGTCAGTCAAAGCTATCAACACCAAATGTTTTATGGAAGGTTGCTAAAGGAATGTTCTGTTGGATTTATATTTTAATTTTACACTCAATATTATAATAATATTTATAAAAAATGTCAATGAAGAACATAACAAATTAAATAATCAATACTTAATAGACTCTCCATTAGCTCTAGCTATATTACTACATCGATAAGTATGGATGCTACTAGGGTTGTGTGTGTTTTTCTTTAAACTACTAACTACCATTTCTTTCGATTGTTGATGTTCATTTTCCAAAGTTTTCATGAATTATTTGACTTCCCTTTTACAATTTCATTTTTTCACAAAATTTAAATGGTATTAGTACCAAACTTTTTGACTGGCCACTTCATAACTTTTATATCACAATCTCTTTCAATCTTTTTTAAATACCTCTTATTCAGAAGATCCGTCGGGTCTGGATAACTTTCTCGCTGAAATTCAAAGCCAAAGTCAATTGAACGTAGACTACTAGTTACTGCGTTACAAACCAATATATTATGATTAAATTATAGCATCAATTTTGACATCTCCCGCATTTGCAAATTATAAATCTTTTAGTCTCATTTCAATGCTCCACAGACTTCCTTACCAGTCTTGTTTACATTTTGTTATGATTATACTTTTATAAAAAGATTATCATTAAGGTTCCAACAAAGATTTCAGTGTTTGTTTCGTCAGACTACAGCATATTGTTCCATTTATTCTTCCAATTATTGTAATCCTTTGTAAGGTTTTGGAAATATTATCCTAGAGTTTCCAACAAAGTTTTCAGTGTTTGTTTCGTCAGACTACAGCATATTGTTCCATTTATTCTTCCAACTATTGTAATCCTTTGTAAGGTTTTGGAAATATTATCCTAGAGTTTCCAACAAAGATTACAGTGTTTGTTTCGTCAGACTACAGCATATTGTTCTATATATTCATTCAATTATTGTGATTCTTTGTAAAGTTTCCAACAGTTTAACAATGGTAATATATGAATTATTAGTTTTTTTTAGTTGTTGTTGTTGTTTGTTTATCGCTAGGCACAAATCTATACAATGAGCTATCTGTGATGTATCCACTACGGGTATCAAAACCCGGTGTTTAGTATTATAAGCCCAAAGACTTTCTGCTAAGCCACTGGGGGCTTCTTTGGTTGCAATTTTACTATTTAGAACACTTTCTTGTAACCGTTATTGAGCACTTCTATTGGTGGTTCTAATTCCATTCATATCCTGCATTTCTTCAGTTATTTCAGAGAAGTTGTTAAATGATTTGATACTAAAATATTTCGAATAATATTGTTCTCCTGTCTGAAGCCCAAGTGGCACAATGGTATGTGTACGGACTTATACTGCTAGAAACCGGGTTTCGATAGCCCATTGTGTAGCTTTGTGAATATTTTATTAGACGTTCCTTTCTCTTTCCCTCCAGTGATCAGCTCTAAGTCAGCAGGCTTACGATGCTAAAAATCGGGGGCTATCGATACCCATGGTGGTCAGAGCACGGATAGCTCATTGTGTAGTTTTGTGCTTAAAAACATCAACATCCTTTAATCTCCTCGTTGCAGCAAATCGCTCTAATGATATTTAAACCACACATTTCCTAAAATAATGTTTGAGAAATATCCCGTTGACTTTCTTTACATTTTCTAAACAAATAGTAATTTATCCTTATTTATTATTCTCTAATTCATTTTTTTTCAATTTCTTAGTCATTATTGAAACTTACAAAGTCCTTAGATGATGTAAGCTAATTTTAAGTCACTGGCATAAAATATCTGCACTCCACTGTGGAGTTCCTCTTGATTCACAGACGCCCTAACATACCATTGAAATTAAGCTTCTCCATTATCCCCAATACTTCTATAGCTACTCCAAGGGGCGTTCATACGCTAAAGTAAGTCATGTTAAGACTCGCACGTGGTACTTGAACATGTGTGCTCAATTTGGTTTTGCTGGCTTATGAATGGTGGTATGAACACAGTTTCAAATATAACGCCTCAAGGACACAAAATCCGATTTCAGAGTCACTTTCAGCAACCCCGAAAATCCACCCATAGACCCCATCACATCTGGATGACCTTCCGGGGCTGTTTTAAACCCCCTCGGTACCTCTTATAGACAATAACACCTCCCTCCCCAATTCTGCCTGCCATGTTTAGTCCTGCTAACTCTAGAACTGTAAAAGGAGTTAGCTAGACATTTATACATACAGACAAAGCTACAAGTTGAATTAACACAGGATTAGTAAAAGTTAACCATACGGAAACAAGATTATTGGTCATTTAAAACGGGAGTGAAATATATCTATATAAATGTGTATCAGTGGATTGAGCCCATTCAATCTGCATTTAATGATACCTAATTGTTATTTTGCAAATATACCATGATACTGTCTATAACACTAATTATCATTTTCATTAAAATTACCAAATAATATGTGAATATAACACGTGTAAGCAAGATAAACTTCGTTAATGTTTTTAAAAGTGGTTTCCATTCGTGCAAGTTTTCTTGTTGGACCCGTACCAGTTTCGTCTATAGGCAAAACAAAATAATTTACAATAATTATTTATACGATATAATTGTGCTTTTTCAACAGTTTATTACGTAAGTTCTACAGAAATTCACTTTATTTGAACTTTACACAAGTCATCGAAATTCACCATTTTGAAACATTAGCAGTATAAAGTTATTAAAAATACACTATATCATTAGCAGGAATACTTTGGAGAAATTTGAACTGTCGTTTTAGCGAAACGAGCTGTAATCGTTAGAACAGAATACATTGAATTTTATAAATACTTTAAAATTCGATAATATATATAAACTTTTGGTAGCTTCGATCTCTCGTTTGAAAATACATCACAGATTAAGAAAAATAATTTATGATTTTCTTCAACTCTGTAAAAATAATTTATGTAATTGATTTTCTTCAACTCTGTGAAAATAATTTATGTAATTGATTTTCTTCAACTCTGTGAAAATAATTTATGTAATTGATTTTCTTCAACTCTGTGAAAATAATTTATGTAATTGATTTTCTTCAACTCTGTAAAAATAATTTATGTAATTGATTTTCTTCAACTCTGTAGAAATAATTTATGTAATTGATTTTCTTCAACTCTGCAAAAATAATTTATGTAATTGATTTTCCTCAACTCTGTAGAAATAATTTATGTAATTGATTTTCTTCAACTCTGCAAAAATAATTTATGTAATTGATTTTCCTCAATTCTATAAAAATAATTTATGGTTTTGTTTAAAGGTCCATATGAGAATAGTCCATTAAGACGCTTTTACATCATTGTGAAGCTGGAATATCAGACTTAACATAAAAAAATAATTTTAAATTATATAACGAGAAGAGTCTCTCGTATCGTTTTATGTGTAGAATTTTTATATATGTCTTTTTGTTTTCATCCATGGTTTGGGTATACACATTGGTACCGGTGTTATTATTATTATGCAAATGGGTGTGTGTTTTCTTAAAGCAAAGCTACATCAGGCTATCTGCTGTGTCCACCCAGGGGAATCTAACCCCTGATTTTAGTGTTGTAAATCTGTAGACTTACCATTCTCTCACCGGGGGACTTATGTAAAGGGGTGTGTGCATCCCCCAACTTTTACGAAATATTCCTAATCAGGAGAACATGATACACTCTATGATTTCTCCAATTCCACAATTTTCAATATTTTAATTTTATTATAAGGACGCCCCCATATGGAACTTTTCGTTTTATGAAAAATATATTAATACACCAACCACATGTCTTAAACATAACTCTAAATATCCAAGTGGACAAAAGAAAAAAAAATTAATGTATTTTTTTTATTCTAGTAATATTTTTTTATATTAAAAGTAGAAAGTGTAATACACTACTAAATTTACGTGCATTGATTTATAAAACAAATTATGCTACAAGCACAAAAGTTAATTTCATATTTGATGTAAAGATTTTCAGAATTCTGAATTAAACAAAACAGCTTGATTTTATGCGCTATACAAACCGAGATTGATCCCTTATGATTGCATCAAATTACTTGACTTTTTTAAGGATTGGAATGCATTACATTACTTAGTTACATATACAGAAAATACATATTTTATTCACACATAAATATCACATTATTAGAAAAAATCGCTTTACTTAATCTTTACATCATTTTCTTTATTCTTCTGTTGTCTATTACGTTTAGTAGAATGTTTAGAAAGACTTGATTTCTTTCGTTTTCTTCCGGCTTCTTCTGTTTTCTCATTTGATATAACGTTGTCGGTTATGGCGAGTTCTTTTGCTTTTTGCCTTTCTTGAATTTTTTGTCTAAGGGTGAGCAGTATAGAGGGACTCGCACCAGTTCCGTATTTCACGTGTTTGCCAGTGAGGGCTCGTGTAGGTTGCTTTTTAGCAGCGCAGCTCACGTTCTCGCCCTCCAAAAGTGGGGAATCTTGTTCAGGAGACTCTAGAGTTTGTGATGTAGGAGCAGAAGAAGATGTATTGTTTGGGATTACCGATTCAGCTGGTGTTCCTGTTAGACCTACTCGATGTTTCAATGCTTCATGGCTGTGATACATCTGGATAAGATAAGTATAATATTCATAAACGTTCAAGGGGTATCCGCATGGCACTATTTGGTGCAAGGCTTCCAGAAAAGAGTTTCTGTCATTTGGTGATATTGATAAATTTTGACACCAATTATGAGAGGTCAAAGGTTCTTCATCGTGGTACTGGAGATTATCTGACCGTTCACCTTTTACTTCAAGAGTTATTGGCCGACACGTTAATAACTTGGATAATACCTGTCTTCCTTTCTTTTGTTTTAGATATTTATGTTTGCTCGCGAACTTCAAAAAAGTCCGATTTTCCATTAGGCTTCTATTATCGTCAATATCATTTAGAGTATATAGGGACGAACTGATTTTAGGATTAGGTGACGAGGCTGGAGTTTCAGTGTCTGATTTACTTTTGGACATGTCTAAAATGTGATTTTGTTCTTGTTCTAAAGTACTGCGAGAGATGTCACAAAAGCTTGCGGATTTTCTTATTCTGTTGCAATTTATCTGAGAGCCTGTAGTTAATGGTCTACTAATTAAATCATCTAAATGACGAGGTAATTTACTAACGGAAAGATCTTCAGGCAACCCGCCCTCTTCTGACGAATCCTCACACTCACGTTCATTTTTAAACTGCAACGAAGTTTCTTGTGAACTGGTGTTATGTTTTGTTACTTTATTGGAATGTAGAATTGAAGAGGATTGTGTGTTATGGGTAGCTACTGGTGTACTAAGTAAGTCATTTTTACGCAAAACCAATGTTTTGCCAATAGTACTTAAATTTCTGTCAATTAGCCTAGAACTGGATTTCGACGTACATAAGTGGCCAAAATGTTTCTTTGTACAGCATTCATAGGTGCATTTCTCTTCTTTGTTCATAGTCATAGAATTCACACCACATAATTTAGAATGAGACTTATTTCCACTTTTACATACATCTTTTTCGTTTACATCATACTTAATTAAATAATTTTTTTGTGAAATGTTACTGGCAGAGGAATCTAGTGGAATGGGGTACACCTGTCCATCAGAAAGCTTAAGTAAGGAATAAGATTTTCCTACAACATCGTACACAATGGGGCAGCTATCGATACTGGCAGTTGGCAAGAGAGGGGGAGATGAAGGAAATTCCCCTGGAGTGTTCTCAGCAGTTGAATCTACGGAAAGAAACGTTTTGTCGAACTTTTGAGACTTGATTAACCAAGGTGAAACCACAGAGAAAAAACTTTCACCACGTGCTATGTCCCGCCACTTTCCATCTGACTCGGAGTTTACGAGCTTCTTAGCCCGCGTTTGTATTCCTGGAGAGTTATTTGATGTTTTAAGACTTCTGGTTTCACATTCATGCTCGTGCGTAGCTTCAGAAGATTTGATACTTAGATCTATTGGTCCATTTTGTTGATCTTGATCATAAACCAGCTTCTCTTTATCCATCCTCGCCAACTCTCTTGTTGTCGAAAACAAAGTTTTCTTTACACTTTCCTTGGACAATGTAATAAGAGCCACTTATCGACCATGCTTCGTAACAGTATTTAGTGGTTGTGTATGCTTTATATACTTCATTTTAAAGCATTGACAAATAAAAATTAATTATTTTTCTGAGTATTATGTTTGACCTCCATAATATTTGGTTTTAAAGCTCGAGAATCCGAGAGACGGGTGTAATTTCGCAATTAAAGCTCTAGCAAGTAATGTCTACACTTAGGACAGAACAGATAATCTCAAAACACTGGTTGCAAACTTAGTTTTTCTTGAGCTTCTACTTTCTTTGCTGTCAGCGAACTTTCCAAGGTCATCCTAATGGACACTGAGACAAAAGCAATCCTCTTTGAATGAATAAGACAAAACCAAACAAAAGTAACCGATACGTGTTCATGAAAAAAAAATAATAAAATAGACACCAAGAAATATTTTTAAATCGGTTTATCTGGTGGTTTTCTGTCTAGAAGTCATAAATTTTGGCAAACAATCCAAACTTCTTGCAGCAACAAGCATTGTTTTGTTGGCTTCCTAGAGGAGATACAAGTTAAACATGCATCATTTCCAATAAATAAACATTAAAAATGTAGTAATGTTATCATTACTATAAGTGGCTTTCTTATATCTTTTAGATAAAACATATACACATCAAGAATCGTTAATTAAAAAATAAAGCCTATATAACTCAATAAATTTCGTAAGCACCGTACAGACATCAGTGGTAAATCAGATAATTCAACTAATCTGTACCGTATTTACTGGTGTATAAAACGATCCCACATACAAGACGATCCTGGATTTTTTGAGCAAATTAATTGTCTTTCTTTGAGGTTCGGTGTATAGAACGACCTCTATTGTCAAGCAAGTCTAGAATGTTACTTTTGTAAAGAAATTCTTAGAAGTTTTTTTTTAAACTATGCTAACCTGCGCTCTGGGGTAATCAATACAACCACGAGTGTGGTTTTTATGGTCTTTAAACACTACAAACAGCTCAATGCCGCATAACGCAAGTCAGAAACATGTAATAAACAACTTTATAAAGTTTCATCATAGTTGAACTCCTTATCTAAGAGAAAAAAATACTAAACTTTAAGATATAGTGATCTACTATAAAAACATGTTTACAAAATTAGTGTAAGTTACAGAAACTAACTTTTTGGGATATAATATTAGCAATACGGCGGATGGGATCAATACATCTGAAATCAAAAATGTCTTGATTAATTGTAACTAACATGTGAGATAAATAACTTCTAGTTCTGATGAATCGAGACAAATGATATAATTACAAATATGTTATTACACCCCAGTAGGTGGCACGATGTCAAAAAAAAAGCAAAGAAAAGAACAGTAAAAGGAACAACATAGTTTTGGTTAAATATGCTATTAGCCGGAGAGTTGTTACTGGAACTCTATCTTTATTGTGTATAAAATCAGGCATTGTTTTATAAGTAAAAAGTATCGCCTTATACACTGGCAATTACTGTATATAAAGTTCTCCAGAGGATTTAGTATTTAAATAACACTTTCACAGCAAATGTACTTAACCACGTTTCTACTAACTATAAACTAATAGTTTCACACAAATAAAAAACGACGCATGGAAGAAAATTTTTATACGTACAATATATAGCTGTACACCAGTTTTATCATAGACAAAACAAACTTACTAACCTAAGCCAATAACTTGAGTGAAAATAACCACAGTATTTTTTTTTCATATTCATAAACATGTACACACTGCCGAATTTTGGACAACTAAAAAAGTTAAATAGAAACACAAGTTCTAACTGAATAGCTTAAACATAAACATCATGTGACTCGTACGTCAAAGAAATATTTAGCAAGATGATTTTCTGAGTCAATAGCTTAAATAAAACTGTATTAGACATCGTTTTGTTAAAGGATATCTTAATAACAGTGCTTGTATTAGCCAGCTTTCAGACATCATTTTATCAAAGAATATGTTGATGCTATTTATGTCTTAAAACATAATTGTATTAAATGATTAGTTTATGCCACTGATGGTATTAATCACGTCTTAAGACATCATTTTATTAAATGATTAGTTTATGCTACTGATGGTATTAATCACGTCTTAAGACATCATAAGACGTGATTAATACCATCAGTAGCATAAACTAATCATTTAATAACACGATGTCTTAAGACGTGATTAATACCATCAGTAGCATAAACTAATCATTTAATAAAAGACATCGTTATTAAATGATTAGTTTATGCCACTGATGGTATTAATCACGTCTTAAGACATCGTGTTATTAAATGATTAGTTTATGCTACTGATGGTATTAATCACGTCTTAATATCATTTTATTAAAAGATTAGTTTATGCTACTGATGGTATTAATCACGTCTTAATACCATTTTATTAAATGATTAGTTTATGCTACTGATGGTATTAATCACCTCTTAAAACATAATTTTTATAGATTATATGATTATGCTATTAATGGTATTAATCAACTATTAATGATATAATTATGCTACTGCTTAAGTTAGCCAGTTTTCAGACATTATATAATTAAAGAATACGTTTATGTTATAGGTTTTATTAACCAGTTTTATGCGTCATTTTATCAAATAATATATAATTAATTTAAATAACTAGCTTGTTTCTTTGTAATTAAGCACAAAGCTACACAACGGGCTATCTGTGCTCTGCTCACCACGGGTATCGAAACTCGGTTTCTAACGTTGTAAATCCACAGACATACATACCGCTGTGCCACTAGAGACAAATATCTAGCTACTGACACTCTTGGTTCAGAAGATTGTCCAAAAACTCATAGACTCACGTCTCTGTCAAATTCACTTACAATCTGAACACTGTCACATTAATTAATTGTATTTTGTGGGTCACACCCATAAGTGGCTTAGCAGTACGTTTGAGGGCCTATAACGCTAAAATTTGGGTTTAGATACTTGCGTGGACAAAGCATAGATAGTTCATTGTGTAGCTTTATGTTTAACAACAAACAAACAATTTGTGGGTTGTAAGCACTGAAACGTATTGAAATCCATCTTGGTGGAAAAGTACTTCAATCTGTTTCGGTTGCCAGAAATCATTTTTCATTGCATGCCACCTGTACTGGACAGAAAAAAACAAAACAAACAAACAAAACAAAAAAAACACCTGACGTACACAATGCACCAATATGTCCGTTATAGATTAATTACCCCGAAAGTGGGCGTAAGGCCACCTGGAGGGGTCGCCTGTTTTAATCGCAGTAATGTGTTATCTGTCAGTCAGTCAATAGACACTAAAATGACATAACATAAGGAGCGCTTAACGATGCAACTTGTACAGTCGTAACGTCAATAAAATGTGCTCATGCCATGAATCACGAGAAGAATTATGCACTCTGAAGCATGACATACGAACTTGAAAAACAAGAAACAAAAATATTTGTTACTCGTAATTTTGGTTTCATTCACTCTTGAAACAGAACATTTTTGAGAACCCTGCGGAAGTATATCTAGTGTAGCACGTGTGTGTGCTCAATATTTGCGTATCTTCAACCCATCATCCATTAAAAGAACCTTCCCGTATAACATTACAGCTGCTTTAAATTAGTGGCTATGACCAAGCTATGGAACACAACCTTTCAAAAAATAGAATAATGGTCTGAATTATTTCTTATATATGATAATTTCACAGGTTATTTCATACCTGGAGTAAGAAATATCAAATTGTGGTTGGACGTAAAATCTGGATTTGTTTCATAGAAAAACAAAGGTTTGTTGTACACGAAATATTGCAAGTATCAAAAAACATTTCTTATTACAATGAAATTATTTCTTCACTGGTAATAATCTGTTACAGATCTCGACCTCAAGAGTAAAGTATATTTTATTTATTTTGTGTACGACATACGTTTATAAGATACTTTTATAACAATTTATTAGTTTAAAAATTCATATTATATTTTTCAGAGTAGGGTGGTTAAGAAAGGAAGATTCGCAATCCAAAAATTATTAATGACAAACGTTGGTTTCTTATTGACAGAATGTGCTTCTACAAACCCGATAATATGGTTATTTTTATATCTATTTAAACATCTTGGTGAATAAAATAACACAATCTAATCTATCCATAAATCTAGCTTTGACTTAAATTACTTACGGCACTTCTTTTCCTTTCCAATAATACTTGCCTTTGTTGCCAATAGATGACGCTTTAAAGGTTTTGTTTGCCATAGTTAAGTCGCTACATATATATTCAGTCATTGAATTTCAATTTAAAAAATGCACTTTTTATTATAGTACTTATGGATAAAGATGCCAAAAAATGAGCTGAATTTGATTTGACTTCTCCCGATTGGAATTGCAGAACGTGAGATCGTCCAACTGGGGTTCAAACAGACGCCGTTCCGAAAAATTCGGAATGTAAGCCCCACCTGTCCGAGATCCGATTATTAATTACTGTAATCTTGTAAATAAAATGACATCTGACATGTAATCATTCTTCGTTAAAGACCTCACAGGTGACAAACAAAACATCTCTAACGTAGTAGTCTAAAGCTGTTAAGAGGAAACTATCCCCCCCCCAAAAAAAATCAATAAAAGAAAGACACAGGAGTTCATGTAATAAATGATTTGTTTGTCCGTTGAATTTCGCGCAAAGATACTCGCCCACAGTTTAGATGTTATAGCTTAGAGGGAAGGTAGCTAGTCAACACCACTCACCGCTAAACTTTTACCTACATTATAACACCCCCATGGCTGAAAGGACGAGCATGTTCGGTGACGGGGATTCGAACTCGCGACCTGCAGATTACGAGTCAAGTGTCCTGACCACCAGGCCATTCCAGGCCTGCAGTAAATAGTAGACCGAATTTCCATTGCCAACAATGGAATATAACTGTCGATCAGAAATGAATGAAGCTACGGAAATTTCAATAAAACTTCAAAAAGATTCTTGTGATTTGAATTTTTTGTGTTTCCCCTCTCTCTCTCTGAAGTTTTGCTGCTACAGTATTAGTATTAATATTTGTTGCAATAATATTTTCAAAAATATCTGCTTTCAGATTAATGCGTCGAGTAAATATTACCAGCACTAGCTATATTGATATTCTAATTTGTTTTTATTCCGTTAACTGAGTGAATTAAAACTATTACATAAGATACATAAAACATGAATAACAGCAAAAGTTTAAATTTATATACTCTTTTAAAATATTCCTATTAATTTTTAGCCGCAGCCTAGCGGCTTATAGAATGGCTCTGAGTTTTTCCAAGTACAAACCTTTAGCTCCTAACTCTGTCATCTCTTGACCGATTTGAGATATAATTAGAGTTTTGGACTCAAAGAGTCAAACCCTTTCTATTGATGCATTTGACCACGTCCTAGGTCTCACATATTAATGTACTCTAATCCTGCCTAAAAGAATTTCAAGTGCCACGACTATTGAGGATTCCCTCTTGTTTCATCTGACTTCCTCTTCGTTTTATTATTACATTATATGATAAATATGCATAAATTAGAAAAAAAAGTACACAATATCTAT